CCACACCTAGGTAGGTGACCTGTGGGAGGCAGGGGCTGTCAGGATTTAAATATAACACTCTTGGATAAAAGAGAGCTTTAGTTCATTATTTTATATAAATTGACACTTTTAACCTTTTAAATGTTTGTACCATATTCAGATAACACTGTTACAAGGTGGTCATTTAAGACACATAAGCAAATATGTAAATGAACTCTGATTTAGTAGTACTTAAAGCTTGACAAGATCAGCAGAAAACATGAATAATTTCTTTGATAAAATCTTTCTCTGTAATGGTTTTTTGTAGATGTTACTCAGAGCAGAACAATATTAAGATAACCTTGTTATTTCATAGACATAGAGGATTTGATTTTAGTTTGACATGACCCTGAAAATCTTTTAGGCAACTCTTAGATTATATTCAACTTTAACTTTATCACACACCAAAGTTTTTATTACACACTTTTCAAACTTCCTCAGACCTTCATACAACATACTAAACCCTTTGATGGCTTGTCCTTATCCTTCCTATTTGAAACAATCTTTAGGACAAACGCCTTCTTTGCAAAATCCCTTCTCATCCAAAAACCATTCCTTTTTCCTTTAACTTCTCAAAAAATACATTTATTACCTATCTATATCCTTTCCAGTTGTTTACTTTGTAACTTGTATTTTAAAATTAACTTTTATAAGAATTTTAAACTTATTGTAGGGGCTGGAGCAACTCATTAGTAGCCCTTGTTGTTTTTAGGAATAGGCATGAGGCCTCACTGTCCCTCAGGCTTGAGGGAATATTGTTTTGGGAGTGGAAACTGTAAGGGATTTTTGAGTTTTATTTGAATAGGGAGGGCCATCCAGGCTCACCCTACACTCATCTCATCAGTCCACACTGTGGAATCTCTGTGTTCCTGAAGGAGGGGGTAGAGATAGCTGCCTGGGGGGAGGAGAATTTGAGCCTTTAATTGAGATAGTAAATCCTGTCCCATGAGGGACACTGGAGTTTTAGGTACTATGAGGAAAGAGTGACAGAAGAGGAGGTCTCCCCAAGAGCAGGTCAGAGGCCAGGTAAACTAGCGCTCTAGGGGCTAGCCAGATTTGCCCCGAATGATAACTTTTGTCATTGGACCGGGGACCAGGAGAAAAAGGTAAAACAGAGAAACAGGCTCCACTGTCTAGGAGGAAAATGGCCTTTTTTTTTTCTGCCATTATGGGTCCTCAACACTGATGCCAAGAAGTGGAGTGTGGACAGGAGGCTTGGACCCATCAATCCATAGAAGGTGGCACCTCGCCTTCCATCTAGTGACGGGGGCATTTAGACCTCCAGTGGTTACCCTTGCAGAGGGCAGGGTCCCGGATGGGGGCAGGGCTGTCTCCCACGCTGTCCCCCTTTAAGCATTCTCTGCAGAAGTGCCCCTCCTGCCCACCACGGTAGCAAGTTCAGGATACAGGCCCCAGTCGGGTGGGGCCTCTCTGAGAGCAGCAACGAGGCCATGGTGTCTCTTATCTTTTTCTCTCCTGTTAGTAAGGTCCCGGACATACAGACATAGCTGTAAATACAGACATGGCTATAAATACAGACGTGGCTAGCTGTGTCACTTGGCTCAATGACTTTTCCCTTCAGCCACAGTCTGAATTTTTTACGAATATCTGGGGCTGACTGTTAGAAATTTATCTTTGAGGAGAACCTCTCTCACCTGTGACTCTGAGCCCATGGTATGCTTTCTGATAGGTTGTTGCTGTAAAGTAAAGTTGTTATTTTACATTGACAGCTGACACTCTGGAGAGCAAGTCTCTGAACTGTTCTGGGCCTCAGTTTCCTCACTTGAAGAATGAGGGATCTGGTCCAGGTTAAACTATGCTTTTCCACTATGAGATGGCTTAATGCCACTTATCTTCTTTACCAATTTTTTTTTTTTTTTAAGTAATGCTGGGGAATTGAACCCAGGGCTTTGCACATGCTGGGCAGACATTCTCCCATTGAGCTACTTCCACAGCCCCAAATATTATTATTATTATTTTTTACTTTGGCTGTACTGGGGCTTGAACTCAGGACTTTCTGCTTGTAAAGTGGCACTCTACTGCTTGAGTCATATAATCATTTCCAACCTGAGTGGCCTGGGCCAGAACCCATTGCTTTTCTAATGAGAGAAATTTGTATAGGGGACCTCAGTTTACATTTTTTTTTTTAACTTTTATAGAAAAGGTCTATTGTAATTTAAGGAGCCCTGTGAAGGCCACTTCTCTTGGTCACCCAAGGCATACTGAGGCCAACCTCAGTACAAAGCTTCCAACATCTACGAGCCAAGGACTGGAAGATTGCAGGTCCCATCTAGAAAGAACAAAACATTAAGATCCTGTCTTTTAGCTAACAGCAGGCAGCCTCTTTAATAAAGGCTACCTTTTTAACAAAGAAATCATTTGTAAAGTTACAGAAGGGCATTCAGAGGGCATTTCAGGCCAGTAACAGTGCCATACGGGACAACTACTGTTAATATTTGGAGGAAAAAATTTATGCTGAGGCCAAAGGTATAGAAAATTCTAAATGAGAAATTTAGAGACCACAGTAATGTCTATTTAGTTATTTCTGGAACTATAACCTTGAACTAACAATTGACTTACAAGGGTCTGATGCCCTGAGGTGTAAGGTGGGGCTAGGAGCAGGACTTGTGCAAGGCGCCACTCCCTCCACACACACCTGGGACAAAATGACCCTGACTGCCTAGGCCTGATCCTGCGGAGGACAAAAACATCCATGTATGCAACAGCATGGCATGTGTGGCAGTAACTACTGGGCTTGCACATGCTTGTTGCTCAGGAGTTGCTCAGAAGTCACTCATTCAAGAACTAATTCAGCAACATGATTCTACCAGAAAATGAAAGCCCTCACTGCTCACTTCATAGCTCTTTCCTCTCCCTCTGATCAAAATAATGTATTATTATTATTAATACTGCCATTACTTTACTAGCTGGCACCTAGCAAAGTGACCATCTAATATCATATTAATCTGTAAGAAACCCACCAGCACACACCTTTACTCCCCTCTCTGTCTCTCTCCCCCTCCTCCTTCATCTTTTCACTTGTACAAGGTTCCAAGCAGAGTTGCAAGATAAAATAACAGTGCTTAGTGATCCCCATGACTCTGATTTAGAGTTCAGAGATTTATGGTAGTGAAGGGTCCAGCAGGCAATTTCTGACCCAAGCAGCTGAGAGAACTGAAGACAGTCTATGTCAAGAGATCCCAGCTTAGGCAGGCGCTGGTGGCTCATGCCTGTTATCCTAGCTATTCAGGAGGCAGAGATCAGGAGGATCAGGATCCAAAGCCAGCCTGGGCAAATAGTTTGTGAGACCTTATCTCAAAAACACCCATGACAAAAAAAAAAGAGAGAGAGAGAGAGAGAGAGAGAGAGCGATCCCAACTTAGCCCTCAGATTCATTCATTCCAGGAAGAATAACCACACACAGACTTTGTTCCCAGCAGCCCTGAGACAACAAAAGCAAGCAAAGGGAAAGGAGGGACGTTCCAGCACAGCCGGACTCTAGAGGAGCAGCTGAGCATCAAGGTGCTCCCAGTACTGGCCCCTGTGGAAGAAAAGACTGATCTGTACCAGCCACAGTCAGACATTCCTTGGAAGTTTTCTAAAGGTGTTCCTTGTGACAGAAGCCACTCCCTTCCCAAGTCATGCAAAGGAATGCTTGTAATAAAATCCATTCCGGGACAACAAATGAGTATTTCATATATTTCTGTCAAAATTCTAAGACTAACTTAGGAGGACAGTTATTTCCAGACTGAGTTCCTAATAGTGACTTTTATTTGTTAGTTGCTTGCTTTGCCTGTTTGGCTAAGTTCAGAAGAAAAGAAAGGACCAGAAAAACCAAGAACCTTACTCTTATCAGAACAGGGACCAATGTCCTTGACTCCCTCATTTAGTCAAGAGACAAACATTGAGCTCATCTGTGTCCAGCACTGACCTGATGATGTTGGACCAGCACAGATATAAGCCACGGGGAGCACTTTTCTTTCTTGTAGGGGATAGAAAAAAGTAGATGGTGAAGGAATGCTTCCTTGAGATATCCAAAGCCACCTTCATCATATTTAAAAGAAATCAGTCAATGGTTTATGTTTAAGGCCTAATGTTCAAACAGGTTTTTACCAAAACTATATCAAAGAGACCAGCAGTCTGTTTTTAAAGAGACCAGTCTATTTTTAAAGTCCAAATGATATGGCAGATCCATTCCAATAGCAAATCCCTATTACCAGAAAGTTCTATAAATCTAGTATCTCCAACACAGTGAAGTTAAGAAGATTTTCTTCCATTCTATCCTAAAGGAGGGTACAGTGGTGTTTATCCATGTCCATGATGGTACTGCTTCATTTGAGAACACAATTGTTTCTCAATCAAATGTTTTCTTAAGATGACTGAAGTCACGAGTCTGGCCTCACAAACACATTGAGCACATTTGGTAAGGGCAAAGATCACTTTCTTCCACTCCAGTGTCCCCAAAGTGTTCCATGACTTGAGAGGTCAGGAATTCCCCTCCCATGTCTTGTAACCACCAGTGGTGCCTCTGACCCTTGCCTCACAGACACCACACCACAGCATCTCTCCTGCTCTAGCAGCAAAGCATATGTCTATGGAGAGACAATCTACATACAAATTCACTGTCACTTTTGCTCCATAATCAGTCTCTTTGGCCACATAACTCACCCAGTCCAGCTCCCCATTTATATCTGAATTAAAGAGTCTTCCAATTCTGAAGACTGGAAAAGCTGAGTCGTCCTCAAGATCTACCTCATCCTCAAGACATCTTTCCAAAGAGCTTCTGGATCAGAGGTGCAGCCCCTTTTTACATGGCATAGCATACCCACACTTGGCTAAAATAAAAACTAATGTAAGCCCTGGTAAAGGTAGGGGCCTTAGCCCTAGTACCAGGCTAGACAGAGGACAAGAGCACTAGGCTTCAATCAGATCATGGGCAGTTGACTCAACCCTCTCTTCTCAGAGCCTCTATTCCCACCCACCGTCTCTGCTGACATTTTCCCATTCTTCCCTGCTCTGGCTTCCTAACTAGCATGGACTCCATACCAGAAGGGATCTGTTTTGTGCTATTCACTATTGCATCCCTAGCACAGTGCCTGACATGCAACAGGAAACCAATACAGATTTGTTACATAAATGAATGAACACAGCACAGAACGTCTAGATGTTATATTCTCTTTAAGGGAAGAAGCAGTGTAATATCACCATTGAGGGGTCTACCATTCAGCAACTTTAGAATAACCTTTAGAATAACATTCTCTAAGCCTGGATTTTCTCTTCTGTAAAATGAAGAAACCAACACAATCTACTTCACAAATGAAAAAAAAAAAACCTGCCCTTATTTTGACAGGAAGAAGAGAAAAAAAAAATCTAATAAAAACATATGCTACAAGTCAGGCATGGTGGTATACACCTGTAAGCCCAGCACTCAGGAGGTGAATCAGAAAGATTATAAATGGAGGCCAGTCTAAACTACATAGTACGACTATGTCTTTAAAAAAAAAAATATATATATATATAGATGCATATATATATATATTCACACATACATATATTCACATAAAATATTCATCATAAATGGTGGTGTATCCATATAATGGGATATTACTCAGCAATAAAAAGAAATGAACTATTGAGACATACAACAAAAGGACAAACCTCTAAAACACAGTGAGTGAGCCAGGCCAGGTAGCACATACCTGAAATCCCAGCTATTCAAAAGGCTGAGGCTGGAGGACTGAAAGTTCACGGCCAATCTGAGCAACTTAGCAGCCTGACAACTCAGTGAGGCCCTGTCTCTCAAAACAAAATTTTGAAAAAAAAAAAAAAGTGGAAGGCAATATAGCTCAAGTGGTAGAATACTTGCCTAACATGCACAGGACCCTGTACTGTATTAAAAAAAAAAAAAAAAACTAACAGTGAGTAAAAGAAGCCAGACTCAAAACAATACTACCTGATTCTATCTATATAAAACTCCAGCAAAGGGATCAAGCAACAGAGTAGCTGCCTAACAAGCAGAAAACCCTGAGTTCAAATCCCAGGACTAAAACAAAAAACCCCAGGACTGCCAAAAAAACAAACAAAAATCCTATGAGAGTCAAATTTCTAATCCATACTGAAAGGAAGCAGACCAGTGATTGCTAGAGACTGTCTTCCCAGAGGTACAAGGGAACCTTCTTAGGAGGCGGAAATATTCCATGTCTTGACTGTGGTGGTGATAGGTATACATTTGTCAAAACTCACAAAACTATATACTGAATATATGTTCACTATATTATGAACAAATTATACCTCAATAAAGTTAGCTTTTAAAAGTACATGTTATGTCAAGTGTGACAAGTGACATGAAAAATCAGGAGACCAGGACTATAAGGTGGGTCAGGAGTGGCTCTTTTAATTATGGTGGGCAAGGAAGATACCACTTTAAAGCCAAAACATTTAGGCCAATTATTAAAAAAAAAAATGAAACAAACTCAATTTTATGTAGTAATGAAAGGAAAAGACAGTTCATGAACAATCTAAAATAGTACACAAGCCTAAACTCATTTCTATTTAGTTACAGACACAAACATTTTCCCCTGACAGTGGGAGATTGGATTTCTTAATTCATGAAAGAGGTGGCAGGGGTGGCAAGGAAAGGGAGAGAGAACTAGAGAAAGAAAGCAGGAAAAGAAATTGTCTGTCTGCCTGCCTGCCAAATAATCCAGATTTAAATAACAGAGTTTACTGAGAACTCTGGGGGAAAACAACAGTGCCCAACCAACTACAAAGTAAACCCACAGTCACCAGGACCAGCAAGGCTATACAAAAAGAACTGTGGGATCCTCAAATGACCTCATAGACAAACAAGAGAGCGGGGTTTTCCAGGGAATGATGGCCTATGCCACCCCTCCCTATACTCACTTAACCTCATTTTCATTTTAGGACATTCTGGGTGGGGCAGGCTGGGGGTATAAGTTCAGTGGTACAGTATTTGCCTAGCATGCATGAGGCTCTGGGTTCAATTCCCAGCACTGCAAAAACAAAAATTTATTTTAAATGTCACAGAGGAACTGGGCACCTGTGGCTCATGCCTATAATCCTATTTGAGATCAGGAGGATAGCAGTTCAAGACCAGTCCAGGCAAATAGTCCATGAGAGCCCATCTTCAAACTAACCAGAGCAAAATGGACTGGTGGTATGGCTCAAGTGCTGGAGTGCCTGCTTTGCAAGTATGAAGCCCTGAGCTGAAACCCCAGTCCCACCAAAAAAAAAAGCAAAAAAAAACTGGCACAGAGGGATTACCCAAACTAAGAAACACAATTCAATAAATATTAGGCTGGGCACAGTGGCTCACAACTGTAATCCCAGCTATTGGGAAGGTAGAGATCAGGAGGATAGAGGTTCAGGGCCAGCCCAGGCAAGAAGTTAGAGAGACCCCATCTCAACCAACAAGATCACAGGGGCATGCCACCAACAAGCTGGGCGCCTCTGATCCCAGTACCAAAGGAACGTAGTATAAGATACAGTCTAAGTATATTCAAAAAAACACTAAAAGCAAAAGGCTGGGTATGCTCAATGTTAGAGACCTATTACCGGGCTCTGAGTTCAATCCCCAGTACAGCCAAAAAAATAAAACTAAGTTAAATTAAATAAATGCTGATGGCTATGGTTGAATGATGAATGTAAACTGCATAGAGCTTGTTAAAAGAAAAGGTTACAAGAAATTATGGAACGGTTCAGCCATGTAGACGGCATATTCTAGTAGAATTTCTAGAATACTCTCTGACTGCTGCATTGCTCAGAATTCTGTTGTCCCTCAACTTGAACTTGGAGAGTCTGTGACTATATGCCAGGACAAGATTCTGTAAATTCTGTCCAAGCATCCAGAATCAAATTCACTGAGAAAGGCAGTAATAAATCTAGTCTCAGACAGTCAGGAAGGTGAAACAATTCCAAGAGCTACTAGAAAGCTAAATTATTTTCAGTGAGATGAAGAGGTCGGGCGCTTACATATGGCTAGCACACATGTCTGCCCAAGAACCCCAGCCACCACCAAGCTGACCACACCAACCAGTCGAAGAGAGCCTCTTGGTGACTGGCTAAAAGCCCTTGGGATGAGAGACAAATGGACAAAAACATCCTCCACCAAAGCACCTATCCTTTCCTGCCTCCAAAAGTCCCTCTGAGTCTCTCCCCACAGATCTTTCCAATTCTTCTTGTTTGGAACTTTCTATGCACTTGTTTTCTTTCCTGAACTCTTCATGTTCCCTCTACTAGCTTCCTCTGATTTCCTACCACCAATCACTCATGCTCAATACATTTACCCCTCCTAACCACTGATAAAACTGTCTCATAGGAGCTCATCCCAAAGCAGGAGCCTCAGACATCAGAAGTGCTTCTGTGCTGCACAATCTCCAGGAGAAACTCAAGAGTGGTACAACCAGTAGATACACCTGAAGAAGGTCAGCTTAACAAGAGATCTGCCTCTCATATTAACCCCGACTCAAAAAATCCAATTCCAAAAAAAAAAAAAAATCAATCACTTCAAGGAATTGACATCCAAGAGAAACAGCAACTGGTTGTAACTTAGCAGTTCAAGATAGGATCCCTAAAAAGCTGACTCACAGTGGTTTTGATAGCTTACATGGGTCAAATTTTAAACTGCCCTGCACTAAACAAAGTAGTCTCCAGGTTAAATGCCAGAAGTCTGTTATAAGTGAATGAGCCCCAGGCTCAGAAAGCGCCCAAGATGCTGAGCAGACACTGGAGGCACATAATGGGAGTTCTTTTATCCTTCTGTCAGACTGAGTCATCCTCAACCCTGCCTTTCCCACTAGTACCATTTAAAGCCTTCCCCTCTACCACCACCACTAGACAAAAGGGGCTTTTATTTGCGTTTCTGAGAGTGAAAGGCAGTGGTGAGTCAGGGAGGGAAGCTACTCATCCAATTACTGCTTATTATTTTGACAGATAGCTCCATCACAGATCTAGGGTGCTTTTGTAGCACCTAAGAAACCAATGACAAATGTATTCCTGTTCTGACCAGAACTTACTAAAGGGCAACCAGCCACAGTACCAAAATTAGTCCTCATACCATGCTAGCCTGGCCATTTGAAGAAAAAATGGGAAAGGTGAACCATTTAGAAGCCTCTGATCCCTCTGGCTCAGCACCTACTGACCTGAGGGGTCTCCCCTGGCCCATCTAGACAGAGGCCTGGAAAGAGCAAGGCCCAACCAGCTAACTGGACCAGAAACCAGAACACTGACCAAGCAGGCCAGAGCAGAAGACATTAAGTCAAAAGCAGCCTGGAAACATGGCAGGCCAGTTCAGCCAGTTGGGGGTAAAGAATTCCCATACAATACGACACATCCTCTGCTGTTTTCCATTCCTAAGTCCCCCTAGAATAATGTCTCTTTTAACAAAAAAAAAAAAAAAAAAAAAAAAACCAAGTCCCAGTATTTTGAGCAGCACTATTCTGGGACTGTAAACAAGTGGAGCAGCCAAGCAATGTGATGGGTCTGTTTAAAGGGACGGTCTTGGTGAGAGGTCCAACAATGTAGCTGAAGGGAAGGGCAGAAGACACTCATCATGG